GGCACATCTTTATCCAGCAGAGAGGCCTCTCTGTTCAAATTGACGACTCTTTAGTTAGCAGCTGCGTGCTTTAATCTCTAGGCCACTAGAGTTCCTGAGGTCAATTTCCTTCAGCTCTAATTAGGTTTTAAGGCCCAGGAGCATGCAGGGCAGCTTTGGTGCCTCCAGTCTGGAACATCTCCCTGAGACTGGACCATCACTGTGAGTTCAAGTTCAAAGGCTTAGGAAGGATGCTGGGAAAAGCTTTCTAAATCTATGGCAGGAATGACTGAGGGTTGGATCTGAGAACGCTGTGGACACCATACTGCACAAACTAGAAGCCCCTAAAGTTGTCATGAAAAAGGGCAGGGGATAGAGGTAGGGTGTCTTGGGAGAGGACGAGTCTGTGATTTTACAAGAAACAGCACAACCCCTCTTTGCTTCCATGTTCCCCCTTTTCCCACTAGTTGTGCTAGCCCGGAAAGTCCCCCACTGAGGAGGGTTAAGGGGTGTTACCCCAGCTCCTTCTTCTCTAGGGTTCCTACCTTGGTTCCCTTCCTCTGGTGCTTTGCTCATTTGGAGTTTGCAATGGAAACAGAATAGGTCCAGGTGGTTCTATCAGCCCCACCTCACCAAATGTTTAGAATTACTTGAAAAAAGTTCTTAATTTTTTTTTTTTTTGGCTCTTCTGAGATTCTATTTAAGATAGTCTGAGGTAGTGTCTCTAATTCTGTTTAAGCTCCCCACATGTTTCTGAAGTGCTGCCAAGTTTGGAAACCATGTAAATAATCTAATAGAATTATCTACATGCCTCCCCCCCACCCCTACCTCAGACTAATGCCATCTTACCTTTCTGGGAAATGTCCAAACACAAACAACTCACAAATTTATCACTTCCGCAGAAGGTAGGGTGGGTGGAGAAGGAAGGGGGGAGCTGGGATTTAAAGCTCTCTGGTGCCAGGATCTGCCATCAGATCAGATCAAAGACCCAATAAATTGTATCTTTGTTGTTTTTGCTCAGTCCTGTCCCAGGAATGCCAATCCTTGTCAGCAGAGGCACTCTCTGCCATGCTTGAGGTCCCAGCCTGTTAGAAAACTTCAGACTCAAAGGCTCAGTTCTCTCTTTTTTAGTCCAAATTCCAGCCCTTGTGACAAAAACGCCCTCCACCCATATCCCAACAATATTCCCCATCTCCACCCCTCACCCTTCTGCATGCCAACCTACAACAGTAACATCCTTTCCCTAGGCCCAGTCTTTCAGGTCCACCCTGACCCTCTCTGTCTTGGTTACATACCTCCCAGTTGTCCCCATCACTCTGCAGCCTCCCTATCCCCCACAAGCAGTCACTCTGAGAGGTAAGGCAAGCAAGACCTGCTACTGGGTTTAACCAAGTGAATGTTTCAATCATGACCTGGGGATCACAGCTACAATGAGACCCTGGTTTGGTTTTAAAAACAGATTCTAAGTTATGATCCAATAATCCTCATATACTACACATCAGGATAAATTCTAAATGGGCAAAGGATTTCATGTGAAAGACTAAACTACAGAAGATCCAGAAGAAAACATGAGAGAATTTCTTTATAACCTTAGAGCTGTAATGGCCTTGCTAACACTTTTTTAAAATTATATATTTGGAAAAAAAATTATAAATTTGGTCACTCAAAAATGAAGAAAGAAACAAAGAGGATGTCATCCTTAAGGAATTTTGGGAAAACGGAAGCATTCTTTCCTACCTTTAAAAGCATAAACCCTTGAAAATATTTAAGGTATGATCAAGTACTCACCTTTGAGAGAAAAATAGCTCTAGTTTCTATTTCCAGGGATTTGTGACCTAGGAATTTGTTAAATGCCAGTATTTGTTAATAGGGGGGGGGGGAAATGAAACACATCTTCAAATTTCAAAATATCACGAGCTAAATCAAAAGACAAATGAAAACTTCAGTACTATATTTACAAAACATTATCACAGGCCAAGGGCTAATCACTCCAGTAAACAAAGAGCTCCTGAAACTGATAAGAGAAGCAACACAGGAAAAAGATAGACAGTTCACATTTTCAAACCTATGAAAAGATGCCCAACATCAGTCAATAAATAAATAAGTAAGCAAATTAAAACTACACCAAGAACTCTTATTGTAGGTGGGAACATAGTAATTACTTTAGTAAAAGGTCTACTGAACTCTTATAAAATTAAATCATCTTGTTCTTGTATGCTATTGAGTCAACCCTGATAGTGATCCTACAAGACAAATCGCCCATTGGGTTCCCTAGGGTGTAATCTTTTCAGAAGCAGAGAAGCAAGTCTTTCTTCCTGTGGTGTCTGAACCTCCAACCTATCAGCAAGCAGTCTAGCACTTTACGACATACCACCAAAGCTCCTAGTGAAACCCTTTGATCCAGTAATTTCATGCTTAGGTATTTATTTAATCCTTGTTGTTGTTGCTATGTGCCATCAAGTCAGAACTGACTCAAAGCTGACCCTCCAGTGGGTTTTCACGGGCTGTTAACTGCACGAGAGGCAATTGCCTTTTCCCCAAGGAGCAGTTAGTGGATGCAGATCCCTTTGGGTTGGCAATAGGAATCATTACCCACTAGGCTACCAGGGCCCCTTTTACTTACTATATTGAAAACAAAAATTCACAAAAATACTATAGCCATTTGAATAAGAATATTCATAACTATGTTACTCATATAGTTAAAAACTAGAAATAGCCCAGCCCATCAATAGGAGAATGTCTAAGCAAATCTTACAATGGCACACTATTCAGGAAGAAAAAGGAATAAATCACTGGTGCACATAATAACAAGACATGAAACCTTTTTCTGAGCGGACATCTTACGTGAGGAAGTGCAAACTTCTTGAACAATCAAGAGATCCTTCAATGCCAGAAGCCAGAACTTACCAACATGATTCCCAGGATCTTAGCTCTGCCCTGGTCTGGTCTCAAGTCTGTGCAACCCCTACGATCCATCCCACCCAGGGATGAATTTTTCCTGTGATATTATGGCCTCAGGATCATAGTCACAGAGGACAATCTTGCTTGCAAAAAAAGTAAAGAAGCAGCATTTAACAGCAGATGATCTCACTGATCATGACTGGGGGGAAAAGATTGAAGTTGTCAAGAACTTAATTTTGCTTGGATCCATCATCAGCACACCTGGTGGCAATAGTCAAGAAATCAAAAAGTGTGTTGCATTGGGAAAATCTGCTTTGAAGTACCTCTTCAGAGTGCTAAAAAACAAGGATGTCAGTTAAAGAGTAAATAATAAGGATGACTGAATTGTGATGTTGGGAAAGAGGTTTTAATATCCCATAAACTGCCAACTGAGGAAACAAACCTGTCTTGGAGGAAATGTAACCAGGAGGGTGCTTCTGAGAAGCAAGGATAATAAAACTATCTCACATACTTTTGACTTGTTTTTAAGGGGGTGGTCAGTCCTTGGAAAACAACATCATGTTGAGAAAGGTGGGGGGGTCAGTAAAAGAATAAAAAAATCCTCAACAATATGGATTTACCCAATGACTGTACCAATGGGCTTGAGGATGGCTGAGGTTGTGAAGATAGCACAGGACAAGGCAAGGTTCAGATATGCTGTTCATATGGTCGCTATGAGCCGTAATCTATTCCATGGCATCTAACAACAACAACAATACGGAATTTAGCAACTCAAGAATAACAAGTACGCGAGGACCTTGACTCAAAAACCACAGCTACAAGAATCAAACCCCCAAGACGAGGTTGTACCAAGGGCTTCTGACTTCCCCAGAGCCCTGGTTTGATCGCTCAGTCTCCAGTCAGCCATCACAGTCTTCCTCAGCCTTCTTCAAATCAGGATCAGAGTGGGGTCAGAGGCCTCCTCCTTCCCATAGCCAACTTCTCAGCCCAGTCCTCTGGGGGTTATTATTTACAGCCTCTGACAAGAATGTCTGGCCAGCCCCTTCCCCTCTTGATACCAAGCCACACTGCCAGATGGAACCCTCTTAGGAACCCCCTTCATTTATATCAACAGCAACTAAAGATAATTCCCATAACCAAAGAGAGGAGCCTTGTGCAGGAGCTCAACACTCATGCTTCCTTCTTCATCTCTCAATGTTATCACTGACTTGGCAACAGCTGCAGCACAATCAACTTGTGCCAGGCCATGCAGATGCAGAGATGAGCAAAGCATGATCCCTGCCAGAAAAAAAAATCTCATAGAATAATGAGCATCCAAACAAGTAAACAAACCATTACTAAGCCATTTGATTCCATATTTAAGACCTACTGTGTGCTGAAAAAGAATAAATTAAGGGTGCTGTGGGAACCCAGAAAAAGGATCTCTAAGAACAAGGATTCACTTTCTTATAAATAACAAAGGAAAAAGGCAGCCTGGGTAAGAAGATAGCCATGTGCAAGGGCTCAGGGGAGGAACCAGCCAGGTGTGTATGTGAGAGGTGGCTCATGGGAACCAATAGCATTCAGAGTTAGTGGTAAAATATGGTGTTTGCACAAGAATAGAAGAGCAGGTCAGGCCGGAGAACATGGCATTATCCTGAGAGCCACAAGTACCATCAAAGGGTCTGGGGCAGGAGAGAAACACAGTCAAATGTATATTCTAGGAAGAGTCCTCAGTCTGATAAAAAGTGGGAGTCGGAGAAGCCTGAAGCCCAGAATACAGTGAGGATGCAATCACAGTATTCTAGAAAAGAAGGGATAAGGTCTAACCAAAGAAGTGACTGCAAGTAGAAAGAAAAAGCCTGGCTGACACCAGCTGTTAGTGAAGAGGTAGAATCAGGTGACTTGGGGATTGACTGACTGTGCTAAAGTTTTCATTTTGACAGGATCCGCTTTCAGGAAGGAAAAGGAGGGAGATTCCCCCCTATTGCCTGGACAATGTGCCTGGGGATGGGGGGGTGCCTCTTGAGGGAAGTCACTGCCTATTTATTTGGACAGTCCCAGCCCACAAACCATCCCCCAATTTGCGGCGGTCCACCTCACCCACAGCTCGGGCCTCACACTCACCATCTGCTGTGGCCATGGCTCAGTCACTGTCACTGAGCCTCCTTGTCTTGGTTCTGGCCCTCTACAGCCCTGGAATCCAAGGTACAAACACGGGGTCTACCTCGGATGAGGGTGAAGGGCTGGAGAGGTCTGGGGTATGGGGCCAATGAGAGGGGTCTACTTCCCTGTGACCCCCACTCCCGCAGGCAGTGACGGAGGGGCACAGGACTGCTGCCTCAAGTACAGTCAGAGGACCATTCCCGCCAACATCGTACGAGGCTACCGGAAGCAGGAGCCAAGCTTGGGTTGCCCCTTCCCGGCGATCCTGTGAGTGTGCACAAAGGCGGGGGTGTGGATAGCTCAGTAGGGTAACAAGACTAAGCAGGTTTGTTGACCTCTGTCTCCCAGGTTTATACCCCGGAAGCGCTCTCAGCCAGATCTATGTGCTGACCCGAAGGAGGACTGGGTACAGCAGCTAATGCAGCGTCTAGACAAGAGACCAGTCTCATCGAAAGGCCCTCCGGGCTGTGGGTCTAAGAGTGGCAAGAAAAGAAAGGGTTCCAAAGGCTGCAAAAGGTGAGAAGTCGAAAGGGTTGTGAGGAAAGGAGTGAAGGAGACCACTATTGGCCCCTCACCCTCTCTTCTGTCCTTCCAGGAATGAGAAGCCCATGAACCCAAAAGGGCCACAGTCCAGTAAAAAGCCTGAAGCCCAGGAAGTCCCCAAGAGCCTTCCCAAGGCTTAGGAGCCCAGTCCAAGAGGCAAGCAGGGGGTCCGCAAAGAGGGAGTATTCAGCGATCCCAGAGCAGCCACTCCGTTCTAATCCTGCCACACCCCTTCTTCTGCTTCAGTCATCCCACCAGCCCCAGCCCCAACCCGAATGTCTGAGCTGCCCAGACCAGGCCAGGTCAGGAAGGCAATGGCAGAGGAGGGTCATCCAGTGAGTGTGGACAAGACAGCAGGACTGTCTCTCTCAAGAGAAATCACCTAGGACCCTGAGCCTGACCTTGCTCCCCACCTCAACTCACTTCTTCCCTGCAAATATGATTTATACCTAACTGAATAAAAAGTTGCTTCAGCCTCCCACGCACGTACCTGTTCCTGTGTGTTTGTATCCATGGGAAACCAGAGTCTCTATGGGACAGAGTCACACACTCTGAGGTCCTAGCCAAGAGCTCACTCTGGCTCAGACAGGTATGTTTCTCACCTGCCCTGACATCTTCCTTGCCTCCCAGGTGCCTAGAGAGTAGAGCAGAGGCTGGTGAGCAGGACAGAAGGCAGTGTCTCTGGATCTAGGGCTGCTCCTAGACTCCAACGAGTTTCTTCTAATAAGGAAGGATGGAGGACTTCATGCTGAGATGCCTCCTCTGCAGACTTCTGAGACCCTGAAGAGATACTTGCTCCCTCAACTGTCTGGCACTCTCTCATCCCAGGAGTGACCTCCAGGTTTTTTCCCAGCCCACCAGGGACTGTCTCCTTTCCTTTGAGCTCAATGAAAACTCCAGGTATTTGTTGGAGAAAGTTCTCAAAAGGAAAACTGTCATTCTGATCCCACCTTGAACTCTGTGGTTTGGGGCGACCTGTCACTCAGGCACACTCGAGTTCTGAAACCCCCCCCCTTAGCAACAACATCAGCCCTAGGAGCCCCTCTGGACCACTCCCTCCCTGAGGCCTGAGAGGACTCCCTACTGCCTGACCAAGGAAGCCTTTCCTCTGTGTTTAAAGAGTCTGCGAGGATCTTTTTCTAGTTCTATCTGGGCTTCTTGACACCCTGAGCTTTCTTCCAGTTGGGAAAGCCCACTTCTTTTTCCCATTGCCCCTCCTTACTCCCCTGGCTGGAGGCCAGGTCCTCTTCCATATTTTTTTTTTAACCTCTTGAAACTGAAGAATAAATCTCTCAGGATAGGTCTTGGGAAACTCAGAATTCAGATGAAAATCATTCTTCTGTTGAAGAAGACCCTAGCTGGGCCCTGCTCTCCCTCCTCCTCTCCCAGCACAGTTATTCATACTCTCACTTCTCCCCCTCAGGCCAGGTAAGGACGAGAAGGAGTCTGGCAAAGTAGGAGACAATGGAACAGACCCAGAGAGAGGGTCAAGAAATAAAGATAGCTGAGGAGCTAGGAGTGACTATGCCACCAACTTTTCCTTCTATAAGAGTCTAAGTACGCCACAGAACGTACTACTTACCATAAAATCTTGAAAATATTTGCTTATCTGCTCCTCCTGTGGCTGTCAAGGATGGGGACTCCTCCCTATCTATCCTGTTACAGCAGGTATGATCTTAGCTTACAATCTCAGCTGTGCAAGAAATTTATTTTTAACTATTCTTTAAAAATCCAAAAACCCACTGCTGTCGTGTTGGTGCCAACTCTTAGCAACCCTCCATTGGGTTTCCATGGTTATAAATCTTTATGAAAGGAGAAAAAGAGAAAATTCTTTACAGAAGGAGACTGCTTGTCTTTCTACCATGGAGCGGCGAAAGGTGTTGAATTGCTGAACTTTTGGTTAGCAGCCCAGTATATTGTACAAGCTCCTGTGCTAAAGTGCTGGTGGGAAGATTCAACATCAATCACTCCTGGGAATTCCACCTGCTGAGAATTGTGCAAAACTCACAGAAACATCAAAGTGCAGAGGAAGCTCCCCACCTCAAACGATCACTAGTAGTGCATCTAACCAGTGAATGGTGCGCCTTCTGTGGTCCCAACAGGTATGTCTCTTCAGGTCCTGTCTCCAGACTATCAGCTCTGTGCCACATTTGAAACATAGACATTCAGCTACGAGAGCTTGGATCTGGCCCCTACACATCCAGGTCCCTAAAACCACACTCAGAGTCCTGTCACTCACTCCATTGTTGCCAGGAATTAGACCTCAGTGCCCATGCTGGCTGGATCTGCAGGTCAATCTCCTCCCAGATCTTGAAGAACTTTCTCTCCAGCTATGGCTAAATTTCTCCAAATGCAGCCCTCAGGGCATAACCTTTGTCACAGACTTATGTTGTTGTTGTTGTTGTTGTTGTGATTGTTGTATACCATCAAGTCAAAACAGACTCCAAGCTGACCCTCCAGCAGGTTTTTTTAAGGCAGAAAATTGCATAAGAGGAGATTACCCATCTTTCTCCCACAGAGGAGCTAGTGGATTAGAACCATGTGCTTTTGGGTTGGCAAAGCAACTCCTTCCACTAGGTCATCAGAGCTCAGATTTACTTTAGGCTTTCACAGGAGGGCTTTGAAATCAAGGCTCTGTGCCTCAGCCTTGCCAAAGCCATTGCAAGCTCTAAAGGAGAAGGGAAAGCAGTACAAAGAAGAGCTCACATTTTTCTAAATTGTCCTGCCACTTACACACCAGGTATTTCTCTCAAGCCCTGTCCTGAACAGGCATGTCTTGTATCATTTATCTCACTGGAGAATGAGTGGTCACTCTCCTTGTCTGCCTTCATCTTTGACAATATTCATCTGCCCTTTCGTCTTTCTGCAAGATACATAATTTAAAAAAAAAAAATCAAGTAATGCACACACATGGTTTAAAAAAAAATCTGAAAGTTCCAAAAGGCTTATTCTGGATGATAATCATTTCCCCCAACTTTTAACTCTTAAATTATGTCTTCTAAGGGTTGGTGCTGTATGCCAAAATACTTTGTTTATGTCCCTGTTTATTGATTTTTCTTTGTTTAACTTTATTAGTTGACCTCCTGTTACAAAAAATACAAAAAAATGAAGATTCCTCTTTCTTACCAAACTCCCAATTCCCGTCATCCCACTAAATAGTCACTTTTCCCAGTTGCCGTCAGCTTGATTCTGGCTGATGGCCACCTCATATGTGTCAATTGTGCTCCACAGGTTTTTCAATGGCTGGGTTTTTTGGAAGTAGATCACCAGACCTTTATTCTGAGGCTCTTCTTGGTAAAATTGAAATTCCAGCCTTTCTACGAGCAGCAAAGCATGTTAACTATTTGTACCACCTAAAAACTCTAAATACAGTCATATCACTATAAAAATTGTTGTTGTTATATGCTATTGAGTCAGAACCCACTCACAGATGACCCCCGCACCCTGCGGGTTTCAGAGGCAGTCAATTGCATAGCAGGAGAAACTTCTTTATCATATAAACTGGAAACAAATCTCAGACTAAGCAATGGGTTTCTTAACAGCTTCCATCATACCTGAGCCACAGTCTGGCTAACTGCAATTCACTCTTACTCTTAAACTCAGTCTTGTGGAAGAAAATTATCATAAATGACAGTTGGAATCTTTCTTTTGATAGCTTGCATTTAAATTTTTAAAAATGGGGTATAAATCTATCTAGACAATAACTAATGCAATCTGTTTCACTTGATGCATAGCAACATTAGGAATGGGTCTGGGCTTGCTTCTACTAAAGCTCAAAATTATATTATTTCCTACTTGAACCATTTACCTGTGAAAAATAAAGCTCTTTTTCCATCTTCCACTAGACTTTTTTGAGAAGTCCTTGTTCCTGCCTACATCCATTATATTTCTCATTGTATTTGGAAGCAATGTGATGCTATTTTGCTAAAATCATCAATGCTTCTGTTCTTGTTGTTGTCTTGACCAATGAATTACCATTTTTATGGATACTGAAAATGCCAAATGTTCTCTAAGACCTATATTTAAAATTCTGCTAAAGGTGCCAACCATCCCTCCATCAGAGATTCTGTCTACTGTGTCAAGCAACTGCTTTCTCCCCTCACCAAGACATCTGTTTCCCAATTAGTGGCAAACTGAAAACTCCTGAGAAACTCTGGAGACATGTTCTTTGCTTTAGAGCTATTGTGGTAGAACGTGGTTCTGGTGGCTTAGTAGCATATTGCCCTGCTAAAAAAAAGGTCAGGGGTCAAATCCACTAGCCTCTCCAAGGGAGAAGGAAACATTCTTCTCCACTTAAGAGCCCGGAAGAAATTGAGCTGCTAATCCAAAAGTTGTGTATCTCTGAAGGTTCGGGTCCACCACCAGTGCCTCCAAGAGAAATAGATGGGCGATCTCCTCCAGTGTGACTACAGCCTCAGAAACCAAATAGAGGATCAGCTATGAATCAGTTCCGACTATGAGGCAATGAGGTTTTTGAAAGTTTTGACGTTTAAAAAAGAGAGAAAAGATAAAAATATTTATGGCCTCGTAAACCAGGAGGGTTGTTCTAAGTCGAAACTGACTCAATTCCAGTAAGATTAAGAGAATAACTAAAACCTCACTTCTAATTGTCTGAACCTATTCAATCTGTATGTTGAGCAAATCATCCCAGAAGCAAGACTCTATGTATGAAGAATGTGGCATCAGGATTGGAGGATGATTCACCAACAACCGGCTTTCTGCAGATGACACAGCACTTGCTGAAGAAAGTAAAAAACCACAGCCTTCAATATATATTACATCTCAACATCAAGAAGATAAAAATTTTCAACCACTAGACTTATAAGCAACATCATAATAGATGGAGAAAAGATTGTATTTGTCAATAATTTCACATTACTTAGATCCACAATCCCTTGGTTCCAGCAGAAACATAGAAACAAGGATGGAGAAACTTCATCTCACATGTTTTGGGCATGTTGCTAGGAGAGGCTATTCCTTAGAAAAGAACATCATGCTTGGAAAGGTGGAAGGTCAGAGAAAGAGAAGAAGAGCCCCAACGAGATGGACTGACAAAGTAATTGCAGCAATGGGCTCAAGTGTGTCAGATATGATGAGGATGGCACAGGATAGGACAGGGTTCAGCTCTGTTGTTCGTAGG